TATATATATACACACTTTCATATTTCATCTGTGAGGCTCTTGCTTTTTTTATTTCTTTCCCCAAAAAGTACGTTGGCTGGGTAATAATGCAGAGGACAAGCTGGTAAACTTACCGTGGCATCTTCTGAACATGAAGCTATTACAAAGTCATTGAACGGGTTCCACTTGATGTCCAGAACACTCCCTTTGTGCCCACATATTTTGGGATAATGTGGGTCGAGCTTGCCTGTCTGGAAAAAAACAAATATCATCAAACCTCAGGTGAGTCGTGGAATTTCAGGACATTTTCAGGAAGATCCAGGACAGCCCCAGCAAGACGCCTCTTTCTGCTTGTTGTGCTGCACGTGCCCTGGGGGCTCTCCATCTGTGGCGAAGGGGGTTTGCTGTCCCTTTTGCTTTGCAAGGCGAGTCTTGATGATAATATCGAAAAAAAAGGGAAAAAGTGCCCACTGAGCACATGCTGCTATCAAGTGATCTGTACACATGCAGCAGCTCAAATTAGGTAACTGTTTAGTTCAGACACCAGAACAAGACTTAGAGGGGAAACACGTATGAATGAATTGAATCTTCCACATTTTTTACAGATTTTGGGGAACAAAACAAACCAACAAAAAAACCCAACCATAATCTCTTTCTGAAGACATTTCTTAGAAGCAGGAAAAAAATGTTTCCACTTCTATTTTTCAGCCTGCTAGCACTTATTTTTTAAGCAACATGACATCTGCGATGAATTGCAAATAAAGTTTTTCTTTCAACAAGTTATCTGTTTCTCTCTGATGCTGTTTAAACCCAGGCGCTCGATTCAAGGAGCGTTCCTCCAAAAGGAAAGTGCCACGTCTGGGTGGCATCCTCACTGGGAAAAATTCTGAGGTGTGCTGAGGGGTACCGAGGGCTTGTGCCACATGGGGGCTGTGCTGCACCAGGATAAACCCAACTGCAGACAGTCCCTGCTACAACGTCAGGGTATTTGCTGTGTGCTGGGAAGGGGATTTTACGAACGCTGGAGCAGCACTTGCTGCTCCCTGTCAGGAGCAGAATTACGGGAGCTCCAGGCTCCGTCCTGCATCCCAGACACCTGTCCCAGAGCAGAGAGCTGGCACCAAAGGACATACACGGTGGCAAGCTGCCTGCTTGCTTTTATCCCACCCGGAAGAATCGCAAATCAAAATGACCGCAAATGCACGCCCTCCTGGAAAGCAGACGTTTCTGCTGGCGTGTGCCCTTAGAGGGCAGCCAGTGACGGCCCCAACCTGGATGTGGCTGGGATGTAATTTTCCCAGGCAAAAAAAAAAATTGGTACGGTTTGAATGCAAAGCAGGACACGATGTACAACTATTGTGGCTTCACTGGCAAGTTTGTCACACAGACTGGAACTAACCTGCTTTAAACCGAATACCCAGCGGGCTTTGAAATGTAAAAGACTGCGCTTTTTTAGACTATAAAACAATTCCCTTTCATAACAGCGACTTGGGAAGGCAGAAGAGAGATAAAAGGCCTTTAATAAGCAGCGTTCCCCCGCCCACGGTGTCCTTGGGGAGGCTGCAGGGCTTGGTGTCAGGCTGGCAGCTCCGCAGGGATCCCTTGATCCCGATGGGAATCCCGTCCACCCCCAGCCTGGCTGCCCGGCCGCTCCCCGGAGCTCTGCCTGCCCCATCCTGCACGGCTCGCCCACCTCCCTGTGCCCAGCCCTGCAAAGGGAGCCCCTGCCCTCCTGGCCACCGGCCCCACCTGACCCAATGCACCCCGCAGCCCTGGGACAGCCCGGGACCCCCAACACACAAACCCCCGGGCTGCCAACACACACGTATGACAGGCAGGGCTGCTGCTCTCGGGCACGCATCTGCATGTGGAGGTGAAGATCCTCACGTGCTGGGGGAAATTTTACTCTACGGATCAAAAATCATTTCAGTAACTGGATGTGTTATTATCCATGCAGAGGTATCTGACGCCCACAGGCATTTGCAGAACTTGAAAACGAGTGATTTCTCAAGCACTCGCTGTCTAAACTCACAGCATTTCTGAAAAGCAGCCAAACTAGGAGTTCCTTGACAAAAAAACAGTCCTAGTGGGACAGCTGTTAAAACTCCCCCAGCAGATTTATAGAGGGTAGATCACCATGAGACGTGTCAGCCCCAGCTCTCAGGTGTTCTCTGAAGGGCACCAACACACCTTGTCACCACAGCACAGCACCCGCCTGTGGCATCAGTTCGGTAAAGCCTGAGGTGCCATCACAGGTTTTATTTCATCATCCTTGCCCCCAGAGAAAAAGCAGAGGAGTTTCTGTCCAGGATGTCCACACAACCACAGATGTTCTCCCTTTCACACCTGGAGTGACACCTTGCCAGACCAGAGACTGGAAAGACACCAACGTTTCCCTTTCCCTCAGAACTTTGTTTTCATTTTACTACCCTTTCATGCCGCAAAGGAAGAGGCAGATGCAGTCTCAACCAAGTCCAGAGGACGAGAAAGACAGGGCTTTGTCTTTCAAAGGGAAGCCACGAAATTGCCCCCTGAGCCTTGGCACGCGGTGACACAGAAGCACGTGCCGTCACCTCACCCACCTGGCTCCAGTGGCACATCTTCACGAGGACCTGATGACACACCCTGCAATGGAAGACCGTTCTCCAAGAAGAGGCAGATACTCACCTCATTCTTCTCCAGGCTGAATGCAAAGCTCTGCTGAAAGGAGGGCGTCTATAGCAAAGAGCTCCCTCCCTAAAAAACCCCTGCTGCTTCCAGCCCTTCCTCACTTCCCAGCTCTCAGGGAGGGAGGACGATGCAGAAGGCAAGCAGCGGTGTTTATTCATGGAGAGATGAGAGAGCTCCATGTCCATGACTCAGCAGGAGAGGAGCACAACAAACCAGCAAGGAGGGCGTTAAATGGAGAGAGCTCGAGACTGCATCCAAGCACGTCCTGAAGCAAGCAGTCCCTCCAGCAGCACGTGTGGAATGCACTCAAAAAAAGCACTGGAGGGACAAGAGCAGCTCCCCGGGCACATTGTTGATCCTCCATGGGAAAGTGCAGTCCTCCCTGTCTCAGTTGCCATCTCCCATTTTGGCTAAACATGATGTCCTGGCTGCAGCTGGGAAGTAGATAATGAAAAAAAGTAACTGGTATCACAGCCCCATATTCAGAAAAGCCCTTTCTGTGGGTGGCTGAGGCCATTTTCCCCACCCAGCACGGGCCAGGAACAGGTATCTGGAGAAGGGCTGTAGGAAGAGCAGCACTGACAGGTCCTCTCTCTGATCCACCAGAGGCCAGCCCTCAAGAGATTTCCTGAACTACACACAGGACCTGCAGCTGAAGAAGCACAGATCACAAACCAACCCTTCTGCGTAACTCCATCCTGCTTTGAACCACTGAATTCTTCTGGGGTCACTGGCACCCAGAGCTGAGAGCTCCACATGCGGACTGCAGAGGTGATCACATCTGCTGCTGACAGTCTGCTCCCTGGCCTCCAGCATCCCCTTCACCACACGAATCAAGAAGAATTGTGAGGGTGACAGAGCCCTGGCCCAGGCTGCCCAGGGAGGGTGTGGAGTCTCCTGCTCTGCAGACATTCAAACCCCCCTGGACATGTTCCTGTGTGACCTGCTGTAGGGGATCCTGCTCTGGCAGGGGGTTGGATTGGATGATCTTTTGAGGTCCCTTCCAAACCCTGACATTCTGTGAATTGCTCCTAGAGCTCCTTTCCCACCCTCTTCACAGTTTTCTGTATCTCACTCATTTGTCTTTTCTCCCCAGAGTGACTGAGACCTAACCTACAAAGCCTTTCCTCACATAGAAGCAGCTTCACATTTTCAACGAACTTTAATTATCATTTTCTGTATCTTCCAGTTCTGCCTTTGACTTCTGCAAGCAGTTATTTCCCATCTGGGAAGAGTACCTGAGCAGGTGTTAAGAACGGAATAACTGCTACTGAAGACGAGCCACGCCAAGCTGAGGTGAAAAGACAGAAGGATGAATAGTGAGCAGCGCAGGCACCTTCAGCTCATTTTGCCAACACTTGGAGACCTGGATCCCACCCCACATCCCACTGTCAGCAGCTGCCTGCTTACAGCTGCAGCTCTGTGCTAAAGACAAGTTCTTCAGCCTCAACAGATCACAGTCGAGGGGGCAGAAGTGACTCAGTCCAGAAAAACAGGGTGGTGGTTCGTTTTAGAAGGGCTGTCTCTGAACAGCACCAGTGGTAAATGAGATGAATAAACAAGAGTCTAGAAGGGCCAGGACCTGTGATCGGTTCTTCAAGCACAGCCAGTTCACTTCCATCCTCAGCAAATATGTATTGAAAAGTGGCATTGCAGTAAGACCATCAATTAAGTTTTAATTAAAGGTTGAACTTCTGCCTTTCATCTGCTCTGCCCTGATTCCAGAGAGCTCATAATCTCGTACTGAAGTTCATCCACATTAATGCATGCCTAATTCTTCCAAAGCAATAAACATCGGACAGCCAGTTTCTCCCTCTCATCAGATCCCTAAATCATCAAAACCCACAAACACAGGATTTATTTCTGAAAGGGAAGTTACTTCTGCATCAGTGCTTGAAGCTTAAGAGCTTTGTTGCCCGATAAACCTGTCCCCATTCTTTCCCAAAGGAGAAGGTGGAGCAAAACGTACCACATTCTCCTTTGGTCACAGCTAAAGCCTCTAAAGCACCTTTCAGTCTTTGCCCTCTGTATCTACTAACTGCTTTTTAATTCACACATCTGAACAGCGCAGCTCCTGCTGATGGAAGGGCAAATGAGATACGAAGTGAAGGCAGGTGTTAAAAAACCACGAGCAGCAACGTAAGGCACCCACAGCCCAGGAAGCACCTGCAAGGGCAGCTGGGGCCCCTTCCATCACGCTGCAATTCAGGCAACGGCATTAATGGAACATCCTTGGTGTGATCCAGCTGCTCAGAAAGCCCAGCTCTGCCCCAGCCTCTCGACATGCTCTCGAAAGCCGGCTCGCCTCGGCGGAGCTCACCTGGTGGATGGGGATGACGAGGAAGGCTCCACCGCCCGCGCACTCAGTCACCACTGCAATGAAGTGGGGGTTCACGGCGCAGAAGTGGTTGTCGTGGACGTTGTGGGTGATGGGGACGCAGTCGTAGCACTTGTCCTTGCTGGCAGCTTTGCCGTAGACGTGGCGGAACTTGGAGCTGCGGTACTGCGGGTGCCAGGACATCTGCGAGGGGAAAAACACAACACACTCCGACGTGAGGACTGGTCGCCCCGGCACAGCTCGCACACCGGCACTGCCCGCTCTCCGGCACGGGCTCAGCCTCCCCATCTGGGCTCCTGGCACCAGCCTCAGCCAGCAAGCAGCAGAGGTGGGTTTTCTCTGCACGACCTGCCACTGCACCCGCTGTACATCACTGGTGGAGAGAGGGGGGTGCAGGGCAGAAAAGAGCCTCCCCCAGCACCAGCAGTCCCCATCGCTTGTGCGGGGCCGCATGGCAGCAGTTTTTAGAGGAGATGAATCCCAGTAGCAAAGAGCTCAGGAAGCACAAAAGGTACAAACTTCCTGGGTGAGGAAAGCCTGAAATATGGAGAGTGAATGAGCCAGCCTGGACACACGCTTCGCTTAGCCCTCAGGTGGTTTAGGACCAAAGAGTCTAAATTTTACCCACACGAAGGGAAAAAAGAGCTTTGACAGATCACAGGAATAGTTATAGGCACCTGCTGGGTTTTTTTCCCCACTGACAACGACATTCTGCATGTCTGGTTTGTAACTGCACCACGGCCTTCTGATAGACAGCATTTTAAATGGTGCTTCAGTGAGATGCACAAGGCATGCTAAACACAGGAATCCCTTCCCACAGAGGACAGGGAGGCTTGATGGAACTGTTCCAGCAGATTTCACATGGGGAACTACAAGCACTGGGCAGAAAAGGCATTTCAGACTGTCAGCTCCCGCTCTTTCCACAAGACCTAAGCAGTGAAAGGCACATGGTAGAGACAGGGAGGAGATCTTACGCCCAAAGGAAAAGAAACACAGACCAGGCAAGAAGGCTCCGGGTAAGACACAATCAGCTGGGACTGCCGGCACAGGCTGGGAAGGTTTGCCCTGATCAGTCAGCACAACGTGGGGTTGGCGAACGCGTTATCAGTGGTGCTGAATCAACAACACTCCGGTTCCAGAGGGAAACCCAACCAGGCAGCTTTTGAGCCACAGCCAGATGTGGGCAGTTTGCTCACGCGGACAAGCGTTTGCAGGGCAGCGAGCACTCGAGGGCAGGGAGCCGAGAGCACCTCCCGATGTGGGGGTGCTGGGTCACGGGCTGGACTGGAGGATCTCGGAGCTCTTGTCCAGCCTCAGCAATTCTGTGGTTCTGTGATCACCACCTGACAAGCAGGGACATAAACAATTCTAAACTAAGACATCCTTTGTGCTGGCTTGTACCGCATCCTTTCCGGATGAAAATTAAATGTCGGGACTCCGCATTGCCAGATCCTGGACAGTGAAACTTCACAATCGACCACGAATACAAACACCCACAAACCTCCCATCCCACGGGAAGACTTGGGCTGAGAACAGTGCTGGGACACGTCCTGTCCCCTTCCCTGCCTCCTTCCAACCTACTGGCACAGCTCAAAGCCAACCCCACCCTGGGCAAACACACACACCTGTAAAACATCAGTCCTGACAGATGACCAGTCGCTTTCAGAGTCATATTTTTTGCTCACTTATACCTTGGCATGTTTTATCTATATTAACCCTGCATTTGTCCATATTCTTAGCTGATTAAATTTCTTGTGCAGAAAACATTAGGTACAAAGGTTCTCTGACATAGTAAGGGCTACCAATCCCAAATAAAACCAAAGAAAATCAAGTTATTTGGAAAAAAAAAAAAAGGCAGCAATCCTATGAAGCTAATCTTGGAAGAAGGGGTGTTCACAGGTGGAAGGAAAGCTGAGGATAAATGCAGCTGGCGAGCTAGCCCAGCAGCCCCAGAGGTGCAGCAAATAACTTCACGCTCATTACAGCCTTGGTGCTATGGTTTACTCACAGCAGGGAAAAAAGGAAATCACTGTATTGCCTGGATGCAGCAGCTCCTTCTAAAAAAGAATATTATCTTTCCTAAATGAAATTAATTGCCTGGCTCCAAGGAAGTTCAAGCTAAATTGCTCTTGAGGTGGCAGAGAGTGTGTGCTCTGAAGGTTCACGGGTTCACTGCAGAGAGGAGTGACCCAGCACATGACAAATACTAATTATTGCGAGACCATTGCTCTGGAGACCAGGAACACACAGCAAGACACTGACCTCCCCTGCAGACTACCTGTAAAATGTTAATAGCGATAAGGAATAAAGGAAATACAAGGATTTAAATGGCCAAGCTTGGACAGTGCTCGGGAAAAACAGCTCTCTCCTATTTCAGTCTGTAGATTTAAGGTTCAGCTGCCACAGGAATGGATTTTTAAGTAGCTGCAATTCAGACAGCAGGACAAGATTTGACTGGGAACATAATAAAATTGGCAAAGAAAATCCCAGGGAACAGTGTCCCTCATGACACAACTGCAGGCACAGCAGAAAGCTCAGCGTTAAAAGAAAAAACTCTTGGATAAAATATGATGGAAAATAATCTGAATAGGTGCAGCATCAGCAGACTGCATCTGGTACGGTGGGAGATGCTGAATCCAGACAAAGCAAACACACAGACATTAGGAAAAACTTGCCTGGAAGGAGTGTGGAGCAGAGCCTTGCACTGGAGGTTGCTCAAGTGGTGACAGGTCTCTATCCCTGGAAACACTTTCATGACTTGACAGACAAAGCCACATCCTCTTTGATCTCATGTTCCTAACAGTCCTGCTCTGAACAGGAAGCTGAACTGGAGAAAATCAAGGGCATGGTGCCACTAAACCGTACCAAAACCTTGTGATTTACAGCTGAAAACTCCCACATCTTCACTAGGTCAAATCAGCCTCGGTGCGTGCAGCCAGGTGGCCACCAGCCCTGCAGCAGGCAGGATGCTGCTCAGCAAGGGATGAGCTCCCAGCTGGATGTTGGTAAGAACGGCCCAGCGGAGCCCCGACACATCTAAGCTCTTGGACAGTGCAAGCCGTGACACCTACAGGAAGACACTTGCCAAGCAAAGAGGCCAGCATTCCTAGAAGCTCTATCAGAGCTTGAGCACACCAAATACCGTGCGATATATAAATGTAGGCCCAATAGTGAATGCATAAGTAGGCGTGTAGAATCACAGTCACAGAATGGTTCAGGTTAGAAGGGACCTTGAAGATCATCTCATTCCAGCCCCTCTGCTGTGGGCAGGGACACCTCTGTGCGCCAGCCCAGATTGCTCCAAGCCCCATCCAACACCTCCAGGGATGGGGCACCCTCAACTTCCTCAGGCAACCTGTGCCAGTGCTTCACCACCCTCCTGGTGTAGAATTTTTCCCTTCTATCTAATCTAAATCTACTCTCTTTCAGTTTCAAGCCACTGACCCTTGTACTGTCACTCCACACTCTTCTAAATAGTCCCTCCCCAGCTTTCCTGTAGCCCCCTTCATGTATTGGAACGCTACCAGGTCACCCCGGAGCCTTCTCCAAGCTGAATAACCGTAGTTCCCTCAGCCTGTCCTCAGAGCAGAGATTCTCCAGCCCTCTAATCATCTTCGTGGCTCCTCATTCTGCTGGATGCCACATCATGTTTTTTCTGGGAGACACGGTATGACTGAGTTCCATGTGCTCTCTCCAGGGCTGAAGGTGGAGGTGAGGAACTGGCCAGAGGGAAGAGGGGAGGCATCCCTGCTCCTTCCTCTCAACACAGAGAGCAGAAAGCACCACAAGGCAAGAAGGCAGAGCTGGGCAAAAAATGCTTGTGGCCAGGCAAGGGGAGGAAGGATGGCTTTCACAGCATCTCCCATCCAGGGCTCAGGGAACCTGTTCTGGTGCAGCTGGCAGCAACGTGGGCTCCCTCCTGACACAGGTCTCAGAGAAGGCGGCTCTGAGAACGGGTCTCCCCAGCTTGGAATGCAAGGAGCTGTCAGTTCCTGACATATCTCCTCCTCCCAAAAGGGGCTGTGGAGTGCCCTCAAGCACCACGACCTGTCTGCAGCGCAAAAGTGCTTGATGCCACTTCCAAGCATGTGGTGGGCTGAAAGGCACGGACTCAGCTCTTGAGAGAAGCTAAGACCAAGTTTATTAGCAAGAAGCACTATTTGTGAGTTACAATCAGGAGACCAGACTATGCAGCCAGGGTTGCTGTTAGCTCGTGTACTCCTCCAATCACACTCTTATCACACAGGGAGAACAGATTTTCCCCACGTTTGTTTTGATCACACTCTTCTTCACTCTCAGGCACATCTTGTGTACAAGAAGCCTCTTATCTGTCCATTCTCACGAGCAAACTCCCAACATGAGCTATATTCAGCTGGTCAGGGTCTCTTCTGATTACTCGCAAGCAAGAGTTTTGTACTTGTTTAGAAAAGAGCTCAAGGATGAAAGTCTTAATTCTGCAACACAGTGCTGCCAGCACAGCTAACTGTAAAATGCAGGGTATCCACACAAGCACAGTGCAGCGAGACACATGGACAGCCAGATGAGATGGGAAGAGTTGAGCTGGGCAAAACAAAAACACAACAGGGCTGCACCTGAGCACCTCCCGAGCACCTGTTTTGGAAGAACAAACATCATGTCACCCCCTGTTACAGGCAGAGATAACTGGTCTTTCCTCTCTTACTCTCCACCCCTGCAAGACTGTCAACTGCTCCAAACAGCTTCCTTGCAGAAAGGAACTGGCTTCCTGGCCATGAGCAGAGGTGGCCACTTGGTCCACCAGCAGCCTTCCACACATTGCCTCCTTGGAGACAAACCCACCTTGATTCCTCTTCCATCCTGGGCAAGTCCTGCAGCAGAGCAGGATAATTTTGCATCACAGCGACACATTTCTGTGTTCACCTCACCGTTTGCACTCACTGCTGGGGGCAGGGGGCAGCAGGCAGCTGCAGCATCACCAGAGATGGCTCCATGGGTCACAGGCTGCAAACCCCCCCCAACTTTAACGCCACCAGCTGTGCAGAGGTGGGCTCAGGAGAGGCAAAGCCCACCTGCAGCTGAGAGGGAGAAGTGGCCGATGCACCAAGAGGTTGTGCTGCCAGCCAGAGGGACCTCCACAGCCCGGAGAAATGAGGCCACGGTTCAACAAGGGAAAGTGCCACGTCACGTACCTACAGAAGAGTAAT